CAAACACATGACTTCATGATCTGCCACCTCAGCCTCCCGAAGTGCTGGTATTAAAGGCATGAACCACCACACCCAGCCTATATTCTATTTTCTTTTGTCCTTTTTTTTTTTTTTTTTTAATGCACTAAATGGATTTCATTACTTCATTGGCTGGGTACCTGCATTTTGAAAACACTATTGTAGCTGGGCGCGATGGCTCAAGCCTGTAATCCCAGCACTTTGGGAGGCCAGGGCAGGTGGATCACGAGGTCAAGAAATCGAGACCATCCTGGTCAGCATGGTGCAACCCCGTCTCTACTAAAAATACAAAAAATTAGCTGGGCATGGTGGTGAGAGCCTGTAATCCCAGCTACTCAGGAGGCTGAAGCAGGAGAATTGCCTGAACCCAGGAGGCGGAGGTTGCAGTGAGCCGAGATCGCACCATTGCACTCCAGCCTGGGTAACGAGAGCGAGACTCCATCTCAAAAAAAAAAAATGAAAACACTATTGTATTTCAAAGAAAAGTAGCATCTCATAGCAAACATGAAATCCTACCTAAAGAAGAGGATCTTAAAACTTCTAGGCAGAAGAATAATTTTTCAGTGCAAAATATTTTCTGATTTCCCTTATGACTTCCTCTTTGACCCATGGGTTGTCTAAAAGTATGTTGTTTGATTTCTAAATATTTGGAAAACTTCCAAATCTCTTCCTTTCATCGATGCCTGTCTTAAATCCTTTCTGGTCAGAGAACATGCTTTGCATGATTTAAATTGTATTAAATACATTGCAATTCATTTTATGGTCCAGAATATGGTCTGTGTTGGTGACTGTCCCATGCATATTTGAAAATGTGTAGTCCGCTGTTGTAGGATACAGTATTCCAGGAATATCAACGACGTCAAGTTTGTTGATAGTATTGTTCAGGTCTTTATATTCTTACTGATTTTCTGTCCTCTTGTTCTATTTAATTACTGAAAGAGAAAGGTTGAAGTCTCCAGATGTAATTCTGAATCTATCTATTTCTCATTTGGGTTCTATCAGTTTTTGCTTCATGTATTTTGTTGCAGTGTTAGGTATGTTAACATTTAGAATTGTTGCCATTTTTGTGAATTGATCCTTCTCCCGTTATATAATGTCCCTCTTTATCCTTCCTTTGTTTTGGAGCTTATGTTGTTGAACATAGCCACTTGTGGTAAGCAGAATAATGCTCCCGCTCCCCACCCCCACCTCTCCCACCCCCTGCCCCCTGTTGATGTCTTAATGCCCGGAACCTGTGAATATATTGTGATCAATTGCATTAGATTTCAAAGGGAAATGAAGGCTGCAGGTAGAATTAAGGATGCTAACCAACTGACCTTGAGATTGAAAAATTATCATGGATTATTTTAATGGGCCCAGTGTTTCTATAAGCATCTTTTTAAGTAAAAAAAAAAAAAAAAAAAAAGAAGGAGGCAAGAAAGAGGGAGTCAGAGAAGGAGATATGATGATAAAAGCGGGGGTTGGAATGAGATGATTGTTGGCTTCGGGAGATGGAAGAAAACCAAGGGCCAAGGAATGTGGGCAGGCTCTAGAAGCTGGAAAGGGCAAGGAAATTGATTCTTCCCTAAAGCCTCCATTGTTCATTTTCCCTCAGGTTGGCCTGACTCCCTGCTGCTTCTAGCTTGACCTTTTCTGAGACTCTTGTTTTGGCCTTGAACCTTGTCCTGTTGAATAGCAAGATTGGAACTCACCCAGAATTTTCTTTCAGTCAGCAGAATGTGGAAAACTAAGATATATCTTTCAGGTGATAGAGTACCCAGGCAATGAGATGTGCTAGAAAGTTGGCATTGTGTGAGCCTAATCATATTCCTGTACGGATTTTCTTTCTGGACTGAAAACATAGGGAAGACTGTCAGCATCCCAAGCTCATTGTGACTAGCCATTTCCCATGTCTGCCAAGCAAATTTATAGTCAAATTGCACTACTCTTTTAGAGCAGAGTTTACCAGTTAAATAAAATTGAAAGAAAAAAATGGAAACAGTATCTGTAGGAAAGGGAATATGTTTATGTATAATAAGAAAGGATTGATACTTGTAATTGGCAGAGAGCTTTATTACTGTTACTAGTTGAATTGTGTCTCATCAAAATTCAAATAAAGTCCAAGCCTGGTGGCTCACCTCTGTAATTCCCAGGACTTTAGAAGGCTGAGGTGGGAGGATTGTTTAAGCACAGGAGTTCGAGACCAGCCTGGGCAACATGGTGAAATTCTGTCTCTACAAAAAATACAAAAAAGTTTAGCTGGGTGTGGTGGTGGGTGGCTGTAGTCTTGACTACCTGGGAGGCTCAGGTGAGAGGATCATCTGTGCCCAGGAGTCTGAGGCTACAGTGAGCCATGATTTCGCCGCTGCAGTCCAGCCTGGGTAACAGAGTGAGACCCTGTCTCAAAAATAAAATAAAATTTAATTTAATCTAAAAATTCAAAGAAAGTCCTAACCCTAGTACCTCAGAATACAATCTTATTTGGAAATAGGGTTGTAGAAGATATAATTAGTTAAGATGAGGTCATATTGAAATAGAGGGGGATCCTAATCTAATAGGACTGATGTCCTTTTCAAAACGGGAAATTTGGAGACAGACACACACAAGAATGCCACATGAAGAAGGCAGAGATCTACAAGCCAAGAAATGTCAAATATTATCAGCAAACCACCAGTAGCTAGGAGTGAAAATTGGAACAGATTCTCTCTCATAGCCCTCAGAAGAAACCAACCCTGCTGCCACCTTAAGTCAGACTTCCAGCCTCCGGAATTATGAGACGGTACATTTATGTAGTTTAAGCTACCCTGCTTGTGGTACTTTGTTACAAAGTACTTAGAAATGAATACAATTACTATTTAAGAAAGTATAAAAATAAAACAAAACTTTGTGAAAGTACTCAGGTGATTCAATGTTTTCATCATTTCCCATGCAGTTAAAACAGTTAAACAAAACTATACTTATTTTATGTTCATAATTTGTATTATGCATCAATGAAAAAGAATGAGGTATATTTATATTCACATGAGCTAGAAAGATCTCCCAAAAATATTATGATGTGAAAAAGCAAATTGTGGCCAGACATGGTGGCTTATGCCTATAATCCCAGCACTTTGGAAGGCCAAGATGGGCAGATCACTTGAGATAAGGAGTTTGAGACCAGCCTGGCCAACATGGCAAAACCCCATCTCTACTAAAAATACAAAAAATTTGCTGGGGGTGGTGGCATGCTCATGTAATTCCAGCTACTTGGGAGGCTGAGGCACAAGAATTCCTTGAACCCAGGAGAAGGAGATTGTAGTGAGCCAAGATCGTGACACTGCCCTCCAGCCTGGGTGACAGTGCAAGTCTCTGTCTCAAAAAAAGAAAAAGAAAATTGTAAAATGTGTATAGTATAAATCCATTTGTGCAAAAAAGGGGAAAAAATCACATATTTGTATATGTAAATATAGGTATAATTGTACATATACACATATGTAAATTGCAATTGTGCAATTGTATTTTTTTTACAATTACAAAGTCTGAACTTTTACGTACACCCTAGCTTAAGAAGATCAGCCATAGACCATAGAAAATTTGTCTGAATATCTATCACATCCAGAGATTAAACAACAAACTAATGGTTAACACCAAATTGTAGCAGTCAGTGGTTACTTCTATGAGAAGGAGAGGGAGGAGAGACAATGAGAAGAGGCAGAGGAATTTTTACATTTTATCCTTTATAAATTTATATTTTTTAAATGCTTGATGAAAATGCTTTCATGGGAGTTTTAATCAATACAGTGTTATGGAGAACAATTTAGCAGTATCTTCCTAAATGCATGCATCCTTTTATCCACAGAATCCAAGTATGAGAATTTGCCTTGCAGATATGTTCATAATAAAATAATTATAGTTATTTTATGTATGTATGTTAGTTGTCTATTGCTGCATAACAAATGGCTACAAACTTAGCAGCTTAAACCAACACACATTTGTTATCTCACACATGGTGGGTCAGGCAAAGCTTAACTAGATTCTTTGCTTCAGGATCTCACACAAGGCTGCAATTAAAGTATCAGCCAGGACTGGGGGCTCTTCTAAGGCTCATCTGGGGAAGGCTCTACTTCCAACTTCACACAGTTGTTAGCAGGATTCAGTTCCCTGCTGCCTGTCCCCTCTAGAGTGTCTTCAGTCCCTTGCTGTGTGGGCTTCTCCACATGGGGAAGCCATTTTTATTTAATCAAAGTCAGCAAAGGTGCCAAGAGTCAGCTAGCAAGATAGAAGTTACATTATGTGATGTAATTACAGAAGTGCTATTCTGTCACATTTGTTGCATTCTATTGATTAGAAGCAATTCACAGGCCCTGCTCATAATCGAGGAAAGGAGAATACACAGAGGTGAGAATACCAGAAGGCAGAGATCATGTAAGTAAATGTATTCTTACATATAGTCTGCCACTATATGTAACTTGTAGAATTAAAAAAATAATAAAGTAATGACTTACTCTTATCTGAAGACTTTGAATTTAACTTTGATTTCTTTTGAACAAATTTTGTGTCCTTGAGATCATAGATGTTTAGCGTGCAAGGACTATGAAGTTGTTTTAATGTGGTATGCAATGGTATATTTCAAATGGAGGACCAAAATGTTCAGAATAAAGCCACCTCACCTTGTTAAGAAGGGAATTACCATGAAGATTTAACTTCAAGCTCCCAAATAAGTGGTTGCAACACACACACACACACACACACACACACACACACACGATTGTCCCTCCATATCCATAGGCTTTCCATCCACGGATTCAACAGTGGATGGGAGGAAGGTGGGGAAAGAAAGAGAGCCAGGGTACAAATCAAATAGAATAGTGATAGCGTTCAGTGGCTGCCAGTTTGTGACTCTTGCTTTATGTGACTTCCTAGTTTCTGTCTTTTGCCAGCAATTCAAGATGTGTTTAAGAACTTAATTCAAGGTGTACTTGGAAGTAGATCAAATGCAGGTAGAATTTCCATTGCCTTGCCAGTTCTTTAAATCTAACTATACGGTTTTTATTGAGCACCTAACATACACAGTCTATCATTACATCACACTAAAAATGAAATACATTAACAATTAGTTACATAAAACAGAGAGATACAACTTCCATAATGATCAAAATGACTGAGACACATACTTACATTTTAGCTCTTTTAAAAAATATCAAATATAAAGAGAATACTTTTTACTGGAGTACTCAACATCCATAATTTACTTCTGAATACAGGTTAATGGGAAAGTTCTAGAACATTAGTCATCATTTCATTAAAAAGTAGCACTTCTAGTGGCACACCACTGTAGTTGGAGCTACTCTGGAGGCTGAGGCAAGAGGATCACTTGAGACTGGAATGTCAAGGCTGCAGTGAGCCATAATTGGACCATTGCACTTCAGACCAGACAACACAAGACTCCCTGTCTCAAAAATAAAAATAAAGTAGCACTTCTAAGCCACGTGCAGCGGTGCATGTTTGTAGTCCCAGCTATTCCCCGCTATTCTGGAGGCTAAGATGTGAGGATCCCTTGAGGCCAGGAGTTGGAGACTGCAGTGCCTATGATTGCATCTGTGAATAGCCACTGCACTCCAGCCTGGGCAAGCCAGACCTTGTCTTAAAAAAAAAAAAAAGTAGTCCTTCTAAAAGAATGGAAAGGCAATCATTCTGAAAATCTTCCCCTGGAGCCAGTTTCCACCTGCGAGGCTTCTGTCCCTTTAGAGGTTATCTATGACAACCACCACGTGGCATCCAAGTTCCTACCAATTCAGAAAGGGGAAAAACGACTGCAGTCTTAGGCTGGGCACGGTGGCTCACACCTGTAATCTCAGCATTTTGGGAGGCTGAGGTGGGTGGATCACGAGGTCAGGAGTTCAAGACCAGCCTAATCAACATGGTGAAACCCAGTCTCTACTAAAAATACAGGCGTGGTGGCAGATGCCTATAATCCCAGCTACTCAGGAGGCTGAGGCGGGAGAATCGCTTGAACCTTGCAGGGAGCAGAGGTTGCAGTGAGCCGGGATTGTACCACGGCACTCCAGCCTGGGCAACAGAGCAAGACTCCATCTCAAGGAAAAACAATAATAGAAAGTCTGCAGTCTTGTTAGCTGATTAGGTGAGAAGACATTGATTCGACCTGGCTCAGGTTGTCAATTTCTTATGGCTGCCTTTAACAGAAATGTTAAACAATAAACATTGCATCCTCCTCCCCACGTGGGACTCACATCACTTTAGTCACTCTGTCTCCTCCTTATTCTTAGCCTTTCTCTGCCTCGATTCTTTCCCCAGTCTCCGGTTTTGCACATTTAAGGTACGCCTATTTCTGTTTCCATTATTTTTCCTGCTCTTAATCAGGACTGAGTCTCTTCAAATTTTTTAATTTCTCTGCTATCCCAGAGATTCTCCATACCCCTTACACTCTCATCCCAAGCACCCCACCCTCACCCTGCCCTGCCCCATACTAGAACCTGGACTCCTCTCTGTCATGGTAAGCCCTGGTCTAAGCTGCTCTTAGCTTTCACTTCCCCACGCCTTCTCCCTCATCCCTCCCTGGGCTGGCAGGCAGCCTCAGCCGTTCCAGAAATTGACAAAGAAGTTGCGGAGGAGTGCCACTTCTCAGCGCAGTAGGTCTCCGTGAGCTCCGCGTTCCGGTCCAGCCCGTCGGGGTCGGGCCCGGTCCCAAGGGTCGCTCCTCGTTGGGGACCGAGGCCGCCTTTCTCTTGCCCCCTTTGGTCTTCCTCTCAGAGGGCTTTTCTTTGGGCGGTGCGCTTTGGGGAAGCGGTGTCCCTGCGGCAGCGCCGGGCGCACGCTCCCGAGGCCGTCCCCGGCTCCCGGCCCCGGGCTTGGGCTTGGGCTTCCCGGCGAATCCCGCGGCGGTGGGGCGTGCGGTTGGGGACGCGCGGGGCTCTAGCCGCAGCTCAGCCCTGTGGCCCTTCTTGCCCGCGCACAAGCGGGCCTGGAGCGGCGCGGGGTCGTGACGCAGGCGGCCCATCACCTGCTTCCAGAAGTGCGAGCGACTAGCGGCGTAGGCGGCGCAGCTCTCCTGCTCCCCGCGGTAGGGGCACCGGTGGCGCGCCCCGTCCCGGCTCTGGCAGAGCAGCGCGAGCTCACTGCCAGCTGTGGCCCCCGGGGCGGGCAGCAAGAGCTGCCAGCTGCACGGGTGCTGTTCGGGGCTCAGGAAGCGACCCGAGGAGCCGCCCGCCGGCCCAGGTACCGGCTCCACCACGTTGCCAGCTGCCCCCTTCTCCCCCCTTGCAGCCGCAAGGAGGAAACCACTCAGCAGCGGCAGCGACGGCGACAGCGACGCTCGCAGCCTCGGAGGACTCAATCGCCGTAGTTTCCGCGCTCCGCTCTTCTCCGACCGCGTCAGTCGGGGCAGCGCCAGGCAAGGAGCCTTCCCTGGACCTGCGGACGAGGCAGAGACCGCCACCAACTGAGCTAGGCGCAGCACTTCGCCCAGACACTTGCACCTGCCAACTCCCCTTCCGCAGACTCTGGAAGTTGCAGCCTGCAAGGGGACCCTCTAAGGAGCTTTCCTGGGGAAACTGCTTACTGTCTAAATAATCACTTTGAAACCATGTATGCATTGAGATTTTCTTCCCCTTGCAAGTACGATAGCAAAACCATACGTGATAATTGCCCCCTCTACCCTTCCTTCATTTTCTCCCTTCTCCAAAGTCCAATAAATTATCTACAAAATAATTTCAGATGATTCCTCGGAAAAATGCATTTTACTATACTTTAAACTTACCGAGTTCTGGGAGAGGCGCCAAAGCCTTATTAGGGTAGAGGGAACGACTGCATGGGGGATTAGTCTGTTTTGGCCGGCTCCCTGTGAATGAACGTGGTATCAGTGGAACAGAAGAGGCCTCCCCTTCTATGACCCTCCCAGATTTCTCTCACACTGGGAGACTTCTCACCGCTGCGCCTGTCTCTCTCCCCGCCCCCCACCTCCATGAATGATGGAAGCGGTCCTGTAGCATGAAATATAAATCTCGTATTTATAATATGAGATTTATGCAAAATTAAACAAGTTTTACTTCTTTCCTTTCACGTACTTAACCATCCGAAAAATAAAAATTAAACGACGGATCTTTCAAGAGTTAAACGAAACAAAACAACCTTCAGTATTCTAAATTAGACATTATTTACACAATTCTATTATTTACATTCTAATTCTCATATTCTGAGTTCTATATTTTCACCTATCATTTCCAATGGCCTTTCTTATTCTGACTCTCAATCTTAATAATTGTTACTACTAATAAAAATATCCTAGTTGGTTAACATACAATAGTGCCCAGTAGTTCACCCAGGTGTGAACATTTCAGGCATTTGATTATTTTTAGGTATTATAAATCAGTTATAAATGTCCTCCAAAAATTAGAAGTATGAGAACATTTTTGTATTATAGTAGTTGAAAGGTAAGACTGCCAGTTGAAATGGTGTAATAGTTAAGAATTAATGTGTTCTTAGATCTTGGAAATGTTATATTGAAGCAAAGCTGTTGGCGGGGGTTGTCTTTTGTTTTTTTGTTTTGAGACAGGGGCTCACTCTGTCGACCAGGCTGGAGTGCAGTGGTGCGATCTCGGCTCCCTGCAACCTCCACCTTCCCGGTTCAAGTGATTCTCCTGTCTCAGCCGGCCTCAGCCTGCCGAGTAGCTGGAATTGCAGGCGCCTGCCACAACACCTAGCTAATTTTTGCATTTTTAGTAGAGACGAGGTTTCACCCATGTTAGCCAGTCTGGTCTCAAACTGCTGACTTCAAATGATCCACCCGACTCGACCTCCCAAAGTGCTAGAATTAGAAGTGTGAACCACTGCACCCGACCAATCAAAGCTGTATTTAAACTTTGCAATATACCATCATCTTTTTAAAAATGTTCTCATTAATAAATGTGATTTTTTAAAAATTGCAAGTATGTATATCTCTGTAATTTTTTAGACGAGAAATATTTACCTTAAATACTTCCCCATTATATTAGGAATTCTTATCATATTTCCTAATGTCCTCTTGCATATAGCATTTTCTATTACTGAACCTCCACTGGTATTATATTTGAACAATTATAGATTGTTTACTACTATAAAAACCAAAATACTTTAGAATTAAAAGAACGTATTTAAATATATAATAGTATATATTAAATATTTAGTAATATGTATTGACTTCAGAAAGGAATTTTTTACCACTCTGGTAAAATCAGAGAAACTAAATGACTTGTCCAGGATCACACATCATTTAGTGATAAAACCACTAACATCTTTCAGTGATCAGTGATCTTTACATTTTGTCTTTGTATTTGACTATTAGTTATGTTTTCATTACACTAATTCAGGCTGGGCACGGTGGCTCATGCCTATAATCCCAGCACTTTGAGAGTCTGAGGTGGGTAGATCATCTGAGGTCAGGAGTTTGAGACCAGGCTGGCCAACATAGCAAAATTCCGTCTCTACTGAAAACACAAAAATTAGCGGGGCATGGTGGTGCACACCTGTAATCCCAGCTACTCAGGAGGCTGAGGCAAGAGAATCATTTGAACCTGAGAGGCAGAGGTTGCAGTGAGCCGAGATCACACCACTGCACTCCAGCCTGGGCGACAGAGCGAGACTCTGTTTCAAAAAAAAAAAAAAAAAAGCATAAAAAAATTAATTACACCAATTCGACTTATAATGAAAACCAATTTGTACCTATGAAGATTAGAAATATTAACATGTTTCATAAATAAGAGTAACTAATTAGTACATTTTGCACATGGAAACCCTTTCTTTCCCAGAAAACTGTATTTGTATGTGAAGCACGGATGAGTAGTCACAGGCTTTTGTCTGTTGCTCTGGCATTGCTTTTTGTTAACAACTACTGAACCGAATTGGTCCATTTTTAATGAAATACTGACATCATGTGGAATAATGCTCTAATTACAATAAAAAAGTTTATTATCTGAAGAGCTGTAAATAAGAGATGCTCCAGAGGCCATGCTTCGCTGTCACTAACATTGTTCCCAGAGTAAAAAGTAAGGGCACATGGATGTACTATGCAATGTCAAAACAGGGGAGTTATTTTTTTAAACTGTGGTATAACATGTATAACAAAATTTGCCATTTTTGCTATTTTTAGATGTACTCTTCAGTGACATTAAATACATTCACACTGTTGTGCAACCATCATAGCTATCCATCTCCAGAACTATTTTTTGTCTTCCAAAACTGAAGCTCTGTACCCATTCCTCCCTTCCCCCAGCCCCTGGCAACTATCATTCTACTTTCTGTCTCTATGAATCTGACTACTCAAGGTATTATATAAGGGTAATCCTACCGTATTTGTCCTTTTGTGATTGGCTTATTTCACTTAACACAATGTCTTTAGTGTTCATCTATGCTATAGCATGTGTCTGAATGTATTTCCTTTTTCAGTCTGAATAATATTCCATTGTATGTATGTACCACATTTTGTTTACCCACTTACCCGCTAATAGACATTTGGGTTGCTTCTACTTTTTTGCTATTATGAATATGAACATTGGTGTACAAATACCTGTTCCAATTCCTGTTTTCAATTCTTTTGGGAATGTAGCTAGGAGTGAAATTACTGGACCACATGATAATTCTATTTTTGACTTTTTAAGGGCCATACTATTTTCCATGGTGGCTGCATCATTTTACATTCCTACCAACCGTGCACATGGTTCCAATTTCTCCACAGCCTCACCAATATTTACTATTTGTTTTTGTTTGTATTATAATAGCCATCCTATTGGTATGAAGTGACATCTTGTAGTTTCTATTGCATTTCTCTAATCATTAGTGATGTTGTGCATCTTTCCATGTACTTACTGGCCATTTATATATCTTCTTTAGAGAAATGTCTATTCAAGTCCTTTGACACCACCACACACACCTTTGTTTGAAGGGACAGGGTCTTGCTATGTTGCCCAGACTGGACTCAAACTCCTGGACTCAAGCAATCCTTCCACTTAAGCCTCCTGAGAAGCTGTGACTACACACCCAGCTCCTTTGTCCATTTTTAATCAGGTTGTTTGTGTTATTAGTGAATGGTAGAAGTTCTTTACATATTTTGGATATTAACCTCTGATTGGATGTATAATTTGCAAATATTTTCTCCTATTCTATGGATTGCCTTTTTGGTCTGTTGATAGTATGTGTGATGCACAAAAGTTTTTAATTTGATCCAATCCAAAGGAAATTAGTTTTTAAAATATCATGATGTGAGATGTGTGAGAAAATATAAAATATATATGTGTGTATATATCTGTATTTTACTATACTGCCCAGGCTGGTCTCGAACTCCTGGGCTCAAGCCCTTCTCCTGTCTCAGCCTCCCAAAGTGCTGGGATTATAGGCATGAGCCACCATGCCCAGTGAAAATATATATAAAAGTTGTTTTTTTAAAATGTAGTTTATATCAGCAATACAACAGATCTGTTTAGATTTCTACCATACACTAACTGAACACTTTATAATTTCTTGATAATTTGGGTAATTGCCTGCTTAGTCTTGCCCTGTGAATCTCACAAAGGAAAACTTTACCATAAGAAACAGTCTTTGTAGCACCCCTTTCCCTTCTTCCCCCAGATAAGGTAGCTGCTGCACCAGATACAACAAAGTTCTGTGGCAGATAGGGAGGGGAGTTTCCTCTCTCTCAGTTTCTTAAGACTACACGTAATTCTTCCTGCCTATAAAATTAGCTTTGCATTGTTTAATATTCAAGTTTTCTTTGTTTCGTGTGTATTAGCCTAATCTCTCAAATTATATTGTTAAACTTTTTAGACAAGGATCATTTTTTAGACCTCTTTTGAACCTAATATGGCGCTCAAGGCGAAAAAAGTTGGTTGCTTGAACTCTCTTACATTGCTGATAGAAATAAAAAAATAATACCATCACCTTGGAAAACTGGTTGACATTTTTTTATAAACTTAAATACACATCTACTCTATGATCCAGCCATTCTACTCCTAGGTATTTACCCAAAGTAGATAAAAACATACGACCACAAAAATATACAGATAAAAATTTTTATAGCACTTTATTCATAATAGCCCAAAACTGGAAACAACCCAATTACTCATTGACAAGTGATTTGATAAACAAATTATGATACAATCTGTTTATTACTCAGCAATAAAAAGAACTGCAACATGTAACAACATGGACTAATCTCATTACCATAATGTTGAGCTAATTCAGCAGACCTGGAAGAGCCCATATGGTATGATTATTTCAAGTTCTAGGACAAACAAAACTAAACCATAGTGGAGAAAAAAAAAATCAGAACAGCACTGCTTCTGGGGGTGGAGTGGGGAATTGTATTAACCAGGAAGGGATGTAAAAGAACTTTCTGGAGTTATGGGACTATTCTATAATTTGGTAGGGATTTGGGTTACATTTAAGATTTATGTATTTTATGGCATGTAAATTTTACTTTAAAAACTCTTTAAACAATTATTAAATCCAGGTTAATAATATCATCCTGAAATGTTTAGGACTGAA